CCTGGGAGAGGGCGGCCAGCAGGCTGGAAACTTCTTGACATTTAGGGGTTCTCACAGGCAGCGACTGGCAGACACTCTGGTGGCACCAAGAGCTCAGCCCTGTTCAAAACCCTTCTGGAACTGGCTGTTGGTGTAACTTGACCCCTACCCCCCATAAACAGTTTGCTCATCTGAAATGTGAATGTGCCTTATATATGATATAATGGACCTTGTATAATACTACCTTAGAGTATTGTGGCAAAGTAGGAAGGCAATGCATTTTGCACAAACTCACTGTCCCCCTCCTCCATGGTGGCCAGGCCTCTTTAGGGAGGACAGGAGCCCGAGGAGGGCTTGAAGGGCTCTGGGTGTTCCCACCCCCTCCCGTGCCGGGACCATTAGTAGGCACCTTGAAGGGCTGCTCTGCTCTGAAGAGGAGCCACTGCCCTGGGCCACCCTGTGAAGTTATGTCTGTTACTCAGAGCAAAGCAGCACCCAGTTCTGGAAGGGGTCGCTGGGCTGTCTCCAGCTCAGCATAAGGAGGCTCAGCAGTATGGACCAGCGCCATGCAGATCGGAGTAAGTGCAGATGCCAGGGCCCAGTCCAAGACGAGATGTGGGGAGTGGAGCCTCCATGGAAAGTCAGGCAAAAGGGGTTTTATTGCAGGAGTTTGCCACCAATGAGGGCAAGGGTGACCCTGAAACTCCATGACAGCCTGCACCTGAGTACTTGGGTTTGCTCTCTGCTTAGCAAATCACATTCCTGTAGTAACCATTGTGGTGAGTGATTCCGTGCAAGGACTGTTATAGGGGGAGGGGGAGGTCAAGGATGCACATTTTTTTGTGATGGTGCAATTGATGGGGACCTGTAACTAAGACAAGGAAGACTTGTGACCTTGACCCCAGGTGGGTGGAGCTAATGCAAATGGAGCCAGCTAGGGAGCATTTCTGGAATAGTCCCTTGCATGCTGATCTCACTGGACTGCAAAGGCCCTGCCGGCCAGAGGCACAGGTGCAGCCTGGGACAGCGCAGACCTGCTGACGATGCGGGAGATGCAGGGCGCCGCTGGCCCATGCTGCTCCCCAGGGTTGTCTCCGGTTCTGCCCTCCGTCTCTCCAGGGGCAAGATGGAGTGGAGTATGCTCCTTTTCTCTGTCTGTGTGGGATGCCAGGTCTGGCTGGAAATGGTGAAAAAGGCTGGGGTGGTGGGGGAAGAAGCTTGCAGTAATGTTCCTTGATTGCTGGGGTGAGCCGCCGGCAGGGGGCGCTGCTTGGTCCTTGGTGGGCTCTGCCCTCGTGGGGGACCGAATGCAGACTGAGGTCCACGGGGCTTGGGCAGGAGCAATTAGGCAGAGAGACAAAAGGCCCCAGAAGGCCACCTGCTTCCAGCTCCCTGAGTTTGGGGGACAAACCACAAGGGTAGTCTCACCAAATGCCTTTGGTTCTGGTGTGCCTAATAGTGTCTGCTTTTGTTGACCAAGTTCCAATCAGCAGTGGGTGATGGAAGATGCATTGAAGTGTTGCTTGCGAACTCAGGTTTTACTGTGATAAGCACGCGTGGGTGACTGCTGGAGCCAGCCACTGCCTGGCATGGAGCCCAAGTCTGCAGGCTGCTATGTGTCACACGCCGGGATTTCTCTGCTGCATGTGTGGAGTTACCCTGAAGTGCTTTTTGGAAATAGAGATGAGAGAAAGAGAGCTTTTATCTTTGGCAGATAGGGCCCTGTCCCAGTTCTTTGCTTCGAAGGATCCCACGAGTTTCCTGGCCTGTCTTCACTGCCATCCACTGCTACAAACTCAAGTGGAAAGAGGGCAGGAATCCCAGCCAGGCCCTCCACACATGTGCTGGGTGACCAACATGTGCCGGGTGCCCTCTGTTAATTTTAAATGAAGTTCTAATGTCTTTCCCTTTGCATCCTTTATATAAATGCAAGAATGTGTGTGCCAGGAAAGGTGCCAAGACCTTGGTCCGTCCTTGACTGATTTCCCAGGCTACAGCAGGGAGCTGGAAAGGGAAGTAGAGCAGCCGGGGTACAAACTGGTGCCCATATGGGATCCAGCACATGCCAAGGCAAAGACTTTAGCCACTAGACTATCACGGCAGGCTCATCCCACCTGCTCTTTAAGCCTTTGCAGGCCAGCTGACAAGCATTAGTATTTCACACGCTGGCTCTTGGAGTGACGGTGAACAAAAGTGGATCAGAAGCACAGCTGGCTGATGAATCTCTGACAGTGCCAAGGCAGGCTCCTGCTCCAACGGGTGCGGGCACACGCACTGTCCCCTCAGTCCCTGCTCCGAGCTCACCTCCAGGATGCAGCGTGGGCTGCTCTGGACATCCAGGCTCTGAGGGACGCAAGCAGGTGCTTGTGTAGTGTGCTCCTTCCCGGGTTGCGGCTGCTTAGCCTTTAAGCAGAAACCTTGCAAGGAGCAGTAATAAAACCCCGTGGCCATGATCTTCCTGCTTCAGAGCCAAGGACAGACCCCATTTGCTGACCTAGCATCCCTCCTTCCACAGCACTCCGTGGGGGTGAGAGCAGAGGTGCTATCAGCTCCTTCTGTTCACTGGGCCACCCTGTCCTGTTCACCGGGGACCCATGGAACTTAGCAGAGACTGCCCACTCCCCCCAGCAGGGCTAGGAAGTGAGCAGGTGGCAACTTCAGATGCCTTCTTTTCCCTTCTTTAGATGCCACAGGGGACAAGCAGCAGGGGGCAAGCAGGTAGGGAAAAGGCAGGCTGGGAAGCTCAGTTACTTCTCTGTAAGCTAAGGACACTCAGACACAAGCCAATCCATGTCTTTTCCATAATCACCACACAGTAAAACACCAAGCAACAGTACAATAAAAATAGAACCAGGGGGTCACTGAAAAGCAGTTTAAATGCATGTACATATCCATATAACTACATTTGAGAATCCCAGTGCAATTTCTTTTTATTATAGCAAGACACATAAAATGAACAATGCAATTTTAATACTTTTACAAAAGTAAAAATATAAAGAAATGCGGACTACAGATTTATGTTTGCAAACACTAACTTTGAACCTCGTGGTGTTAAAACCTAGCCGTTTCTCAGAATTTCTATTTGATTCAACTAAATGTTAGATTATAGTGGAGAAAACTGATGAACAGCCTATAGGAAATACCCACTATAATTAAAGCTCAGGTTGTTTTTCATTTATTTCCCTAAGTACGCTTGCTGTAGTTTTGTGTGGATTAAAACTTTTATTCTAGAAAACAACTTTTATTCTAGGAAACAACTTTTATTCTAGCAGTCACCTTACTGACTGCTGTTTCAGGAAAGAGAATTCATGAACATTCTCTACATTGTCAATCTCAGTGTTTAAAGCTTAAGAGTATTTCTGCTAATCTGAAATTTTTTTTTGGTTCATTGCTAACTTTTAAAACACCTTAAGACAATCAATGTGATTTAAAATTATCTTTCTCTGCAAAGTACTCATGTTTTTTTTTATTCATTTTTATGTCAAAGCAGTAAGGCAAAAAAGTGGTTCCTTTTCCAAACTAGACAGAGACAGAACATTTGCCCATTTTAAATTTCAAGGACTAGAACCACTGCAGATAGCCCTACGGAGAGGAATTTAAGGCTGCTGTGATGTTCTTTCACAGTTAAACCATGACATGACTAGCAGTGCAACTGATTGCAAATGCTGAATTGATCATCATTGGGGCATAAAACCCAGGTCATGAACACTGGCCTTTCTGTCTATTGCACTTCTGAGACACTGCTTTCCCTGTCACCTTCAACAAGTTTCAAGATAAAGTCAGAAAACATCATACAAAGTTGAAAGTCTGCTACAAGGAGACACATGCTTCTGGTGTCAGGAGCAGGTTTGTGGCATCTGGTTAGTATTGGTGCACTCTGCCTTTAGCCTGGCAAATACATGCAGCCACATGTGCTGGGCAGCTTGGTGCACACCGGGAGCCAGTCAGTGTTCCACAGAGCCCAGCCCTCTGTAGCTACAAGCAAGATGCATGGCTCTGCAAGAACCCCCAGGCACGGGCTGAGTGTCACTGTCTGCTGTGATATTCTTGAGGCAAGCAGACAGATGAAAGAGTAGCATCACACAGCCTCGATTGCCTCAGGTTATTCTCTACCATGCACGGCACATGGACCAAGCTTTGCAGTACACATCTGTGTGTTTTAGCACCACGTGTCAGCCCAGCGGGAGATGGGAAGGACAGTGGCATCTACACCCACATTCTTTCAGAGTGTGAAAGTAAGTTGTCTGAAGAACCATTTGATTCTGAATAGATATCCAAGTGTTTACTGAAACCGATGAGTTACAGAGCTAGGTGTCTGAGCTTTGGGTTGATGAGATCAGATTTTGCAAAGTCCACTGAGCCAGGACCTCTCGGCTAGCTTATCAATGGGTGAAGAAAGAAGAAACCACTCCTCAGAACAGGCCTGCGGTGGGTGCTACGCCATCCAGGGGCTGTGCTGGGTGGTTGGTCTGTCTGTGCCCTCCTTGGGGCACAGTCCATCCAATTAGAAACATGATTCACTACCTCTTTCCTGTTCTGATGTGTGTAGGCACACCTTCCTGGCACATGCATTCTTGTCATTTATATAAAGGATGCAAAAGGAAAGACCTTAGAATTTCATTTAAAATTAATAAAGGGCACTATGCTTCAGAAAATGAAAACAGTTTGGATCAGTGATAATAAAAATAATTCTCTCATTTAGTTCCTATGTGAGCTGAAAGAGAGGCAGTGTGAACAAGATTCTTCAAATTTCTTTGCTCCTCCCTTCAACATCACTTAATGTCTAGAAATAAGATTCAGCTAGGTTTGGGGAATGTCACAGAGCTCATTTTTCCAAGGAGACTCTCCACCAGTGTTTACCACAGTATATAACCTTGTAGTACCCACGACATGGCCAGGCGTGCAACCCATCTGCAGCTGGAGCTGGTCTCTGAACCCAGACAAGCTCATCACTCAGCTCAACCAAGAACCTTCAGGAGCGGCTGTCTACACCAGCATTCTGTTTTGTGAATTCTGAGAAACACTCAGCAGCAGTACTCTGAGCTGCAGGTGAAGCAGGACCAACTTCCCCCTGTAGTCTATAGACACATTCTATGGAAATAGCTCAAGGTTTGTACTTATTCTAAAAATTCAACTGAATACTGAAAATCATCCTTTAGAAAAGCCAAAACAGTCATTCTTTTATAAATCTTTTGGTGCCAACTGCACCTAATTGGTAATATACATAGAGGTATAGTTTTGCTATGTTTGCAAGAATGCTAAGCACTAGATGAGGTCTTTCAGTTCCCTGTCAGTCAGTTCATTCACTTCCATGATCTTCTCTAAGTGTTCCATGTAGCGACTGTGGTCCTGCAGGAAATGAGGGACCCTCAGGTTTTCAGTGACTGCCAGTTCTTTTAAGCGGTCCACATCTTCATAGGAGACCTGAGAAAAGGAAGGTGGATTAATTACAAAACTTGAAACTGTAAGTTACGTTTGAAAGATCAATTTCCTGCCTGGATCTTAAATGGAAGTATATAAATCATTGCCATATAGCATTAATGTGCACCAGCATTTTGACAAATCGGGTTAGCTGGTTCAAGTCCTGGCTGCTCCACATCCAGTCCAACTCCCTGGTAATGTGCCTAGAGTAGCAACAGAGGATGAACCAAGTGCTCGGGTTCCTACCACCCGTATGGGAGACCCGGAAGCAGGCCCTGGCTCCTAGCCCAGCCCGGGTCATGTGGCCATCTGGGGAGTAAACCAGTGTATAAAAGACCTGCTTCTCTCTGTCTCCCTCTCTCAATCTGTAACTCAACTATTCAAATAACCCTTAAAAAAAAAAAAAACTAGCTACGAAAAAACTAAAATCAGTTGCCTACCTTTCTTTGTAAGTCAATCTGCTCTCCCAGTGGCTTCTGCGCTGTGGTTTCAGCAAGCCAGGGATCAAAACATTTGAAAAAATATGTGCTCTGCGTCTGCACTAAACCTGCGTCGATTCTGTGTCGTCAGTCCCTAGGCAATACGGCAGAACAGCTATCTGCACAGCAGTCATGTTAATTAAACACCCTAGAGATGCCGCAGTGTAGAGGAGGATGTGCGTGTTTCATGCAAATCCTACATAGGCTATTTTACATGAGCACCTGGAGCATGTGAGGCCTTCCGCATCCGTGAGGGTCCTGGAGGCATGTGGGTGCCACGGGATGACGGCCCTGGTCTGCCCCTTGGGTCACACCCCTTAGACCAAAAGTCACTCAGTACTCTTTCCAGTCATACTCAGCTTGCCAAAACATCAGAGAGCTGTGCTTCATCTGTGTGCAGCTCAGCCAGAACAAGCCTCATGGCTGCAGAAATATAAATAAAGCAGCTAGAATGAAAACTGTATCTTAGTAAATTAGGAAAATCAGCACTATGATATGCTGGATTCTTGTTTCTAGTTAACCTGGGAAACATGATGTGGGCTTTTATTTTGAATTTTTGGTGAGGATTTTAAAGATGTCATATTTCATTCTACTGTGTAAGAAGGTATTAGGTTTAGGGTAAGAATTTTTAAGGTCTATAAATTACCTTTGTATTGCTAAATTCCGAAACAGTTTACCTTAAATATCTTCTGATCAACACTCTTCCAGGTGTTCATATTATATCTCTGTTTTATTAAGTTTTTAAGTATTCTTGTGACTGATAAAATTATTTATTATCTCTGGCATTTATACCACTAAATGTAATGAAGGCAGATTTGTTGATATGGTAGGGTTAATAGGTCTTAAAACATTTTGAGCTTATTACAGGAGAGAGTGAGTAAATATACCAACCTTGGAAAACAAGGTGCTCATTTTGGGATAAGGCAGATACAAATGTGGATGGGAAGGAAAGCATGAATGGATCCTGTGAGGTCCGACCTGAATTGGGATGTTCTTGTTATGACAAATAGAAATGACTTGCTCCCTGGAAGTTCTAGAAACAAGAGTGATGTGTGGGCAAGGAGCTCACCTTGTGCTCAGAGCCTGTTTTTAAACACTGTTTTCCACTGCAAGGAATTAAAGCTTTGTTTAAGAAATGGTTAAATTCAGATTTGGATTTTGAAAATAAAAGATGAGCCTAGAAAACACTGAGACATGTTTTAAAGAACCAAAGGTTGAGGCAAGCATTCGAGACAGATGTAACCCATACGGAAGTCTCCTGGTTCAAGCCCCAGCTCCACTTGCAGTTCCAGCTTCCTGTTTATGCAGAACCTGGGAGGCGACAGGTGATCACTCAGGTGTTTGGATGCCAGCTACTTATGTGGGAGACCTGGAATAAGTCCTTCGTGCCCAGCCCCAGCGCTTGTGGCCATCTGTAGGGGTGGGAGGGGTGATTCAGCAGATGGAAGATCTCTGTCTCTGGCTTCTTTGTTTTTCAAATAAAATGAAGGCAAGTAAGTACTTTTTAAAAAAATTTATCTGAAAAAAAAAAAAAACAGAGGAGCAGTCATCCAACAAACAAAAAAAAAGTTTGTAGGGCCCATAGCGGTTAAGGTCCTTGCCTTGAACACGCCAGGATCTCATATGGGTACAGGTTCTAATCCTGGCAGCCCCACTTCCCATCTAGCTCCCTGCTTGTAGCCTGGGAAAGCAGTTGAGGACAGCCCAGAGTATTGGGACCCTGCACCCACGTGGGAGACCCGGAAGAAGTTCCTGGCTCCTGGCTTCAGATTGGAGCAGCACAGTCCACTGCGGCCACTTGGGGAGCGAATCTTTGAACAGAAGATCTTCTTTTCTGTCTCTCCTCCTGTCTGTACATCTGCCTTTCCAATAAAAATAAATAAATCTTTAAAAAATGTCTGTAATTTAAAAAAAGGAAATATAACATAATTAGAAGATCTTCATTATTTTCCACTGGTAAAGATCATAAGCAGGTATCAGAACCATGCTGGCACCATGGTGTAGCAGGTAAAACCATTGCATGCAATGCTGGTATCACATATGGGTGCCAGTTGGAGTGCCAGCTGCTCCACTTATGATCTATCTCCCTGCTAATCTTGTTGGGAAAATAGTGGGATATGACCCAAGTACTTGAACCCCTGTGCACATGTCTGATGCCCAGGTGAAGCTCCCGGCTCCTGGTTTTAGCCAGGCCCAATCCTGGCTGTTTTGGCACTTGGGGAGTGAACCAGTAAATGGAAGATCTCTTTCTGTCCCGCCCTCTCTCTCTCTCCATAATTCTATCTTTCAAACAAATACATCTTAAGAAAAAAGGACTGTTAAAGAACAATCTATTCATAGCTATCACCTCACAGATATTAATAGAGCAGAGGAAGCAAATTTTTTAAAGATTTATTTTTATTGGAGAGGCAGATTTACAAAGAAAAGAAGAGAGAAAGATCTTCTGTCCACTGATTCACTTCCCAAGTGGCTGCACAGCCAGAGCTGATCCAAAGCCAAGAGCCAGGGACTTCATCCAGGTCCCACATAGGTGCAGGGTCCCAAATTTTTGGCCCATCCTCTGCTGCTTTCCCAGGCCATAAGTAGGGAGCTGGATGGGAAGTGGAGCAGCCAGTATACTAACCAGAGCTCATATGGGACCCCAGTGCATGCAAGGCAAGGATTTAGCCATTAGGCTATTGTGTTGGGCCTGGAATCTTGACAATAGAGAGATCTGGGAGTCACTAACTTACCCAAGTGATCAAACACAACACAACACAACTAATAATAGTGCAAAACGCCATATGCTGCAATGGGAAATGCACATTATTTAATTGGTATTCTTGGCAAGAAGATTTATCCTGAATCTCATCTTGAGGAAATAGTGCAGCAACACAGAACTGTAAGAATTCTCAAGAAAACTATCCTGGATGCTGAAAAATGTCATGGAAAACAAAAACAACTGGATGGAGGAAATTGTTCTAGCTTTTAAAATATGAAAGTTTAAACTAAATGCAATGTGTAAGCCTTAAAATAAAACCTTGATGGTATCAGATCATAGATCCTTGATTCACTGTGAGTTTATTTTTTTGCATCAAGTCACTGGAAGAAAATGTCGAGTAAGCGCTGCAAGACACCAGCCCCGGCAGACTGCTTGGAAAAGACCCCGGAAACAATCAATAAAAGCAAAACTAGGCAAATAGGATTACGTGCAGCTAAGAAGCTTTTGCACTGCAGAGGAAATATCCAAAAAAGAAAAGATGCAACTAACAGGATGGGAGAAAATATATCCAGGACCTACCAAGAGCTTAAGAAACACAACAACAATACAAGCAGAGCAGTTAAGGGCAAGGGACATGAACCGGCATTGTTCAACAGTTGAAATACAAATGGCCAAAATGTGAAAAGAATCAGGATCACTGGCCATCAGGGAAATGCAAAGAACAAACAAAATGAGGTTCCTTCTCACCCCAGTTAGAATGGCTACTATTCAAATATCAAGAAATAATAAATTCTGGCAAAGATGTGGGGGAAATGGTGCCCTCCTACATTATTGGTGGGGAATGTAAACTAACAGCCGTTGTGGAAGACAGTATGGAGATTCATCAGAAATATGAAAATCGAGCTACCATATGATCCTGCCACCTCACATATGAGAATTTACCAAAACAAAATGAAATCAGCGTATTGAAACGTTATTTGTAATGCTGCAGCTCAATACACAAGAGCTAATATATGCAATTATCCCAGATATCCATCAACTGATGACTGGATGAAGGAAGTGTGGCACATATATGCTATGCAGTACTACTCAGCCATAAATAAGACAGAAATCCTGTCTTATGCAACAAAATGAATACAACTGGAAGCCATTACAGTTAGTGAAATAGACCAGTCCCCAGAATCTATCATGTTTCTCTAGCAGGTAATGATTAATATGCAATACAAAGAAATGTACAGGAACAAAACAGATATCTTGAAATATGCTTGTAAAAAGATAAAAAAATAAAAAATAAAGAAATCTGCTTGTTATTTTTAGTTATTGTCTAACGCCTGTTGGAATGGTAGTCTTTGTACTTTTTACTTGTTGATTACTGTGACTAGTGATGCATTAAGCCTGTGATTATAAAGTAAACTGAAATTTAAAAATTTAAAGAAAGAAGAAGGGGGATTGAGGGAGGGCACTGTGGCTATTTTAGAAATATCTCTGTGGACTACATGAAATCTGTTCTCTTTATATTAAATTTTTTTTTTAAATCTTGGGTTCCAAACCACAGTTGCAAAGGACATTTCAGATACAGTTTGGGAAAACTGAACTGAACTGTATTTTAGATGTTACATTAAATCAACAACTAATTTCTTAGTAATAGAAAAGCATATGATCACGTCAGAGAATATCCCCATTGGAGTTATTGAACTGATAGTGTTACAGTTGCAGCTTACTTGTAAATAGTTCTTTGTCTCTTATGGATTACAAAGCGCTTTCACAATCTGATTCTATGGAAGAACCTTATTTTTGCCTTCCCTTATCACATGAAAGTTAACCCAACAACCAAGTAAAAATGCTTGAACCAGAGCCTTTCTGAATCACAAAACCCAGCTGGTGTGTCCAGGGACCAGGCGCCATAGGCGCCACTCACCTTGCCCAGGGCAGTCAGCAGGTGGAAGTCGATGCTCTCTCGGTATCGGAGGATCTGAAGGATTCCGTCCAGGTACACCTGGTCTTTACTGAAACACCCTGGCAGAGATAATGAGCGTTTACTTTCACACCGTGAAGCAGGTACTAACCCACTCCCTTCTGCGGTAGGGATCCACCTTGTATTTAAACCTTATTTACCAACAATGCCTTTTATTTAACTATCTTCTACATAGAATGTGAGATGTTGGAGAGTACCTGGCTAACATTGCAGAATAGTACTTTCCCTTTCAGTGCCTCTTCAATTCCCTTCCCTCCCTTTTCTCCTGATTATAAAGAAAGGCTGACAATTTAAAATGTACTCTGTTTCTAAATGAATACCCCACCCCCTCTGTAAAGTCACCACCATTAACTTCCCTCAGAGATGAAGGCATTTGGAAGGGGGGCTGGGAGGCAGTCTGGGAGTAAATAGGTCTCAACGGGGGCAGGGTGGGACACAGGATTTTTGGAATTCCTCATACTAAATGAAACTGGCTTAAAAAACCCTCTGGGTGACTTTGACACTAATCATCCCTGTGCAGACAACGAGGAGATTTTTAAGGAACACTCAGAGTTAGCAAAGTAAAGACATATGAGGAAGGGATGAAAGGGAAAACCAGTTCATGAGACCAGACTCTACTTAGAAAAGAACGTTTCACTCACAAAGAAAATCCTTTTCCCATCCTGATGTAAATTTCTAAATTTAAAAAAAAAAAAAAACTGTTAAATGGCCTACAATTCTATATTACAGTCATATGTTAAGAAATTACTAATTTTATTAGGTATGGTAACGGCATGGGGATTATAAAGAATACTCTCTAGTTGGATGTACATACTAAAATTATTGAGTAAAAGGATGCGATTTTGGAATTGGCTTTAAAATGCTGCAAGAGAACAGTAACATGGGAGGAACAGGTGAAGCACAATTAGAAAATGTCAGTGTTGATGAAGATCCGTAATGCTTAATTCTCTTTATACCTGAGAATTTTCCATAATAAAAAGTTAAAAACAAGCATGTCAAGGAAAGAACTAACGGAGCAGTCTGCAGGTGATGAGCCTCCCTGGGGTGGCAACAGCACTTGAGGGCCCTGTATTTGGGCACAGAGATGGGAGAGTGGCTGCTACACTGCGGTGAACTCAGCCGGGGTGACTGTGCCCACTGAAGGCCAACCACCCCTGCTTCCTGTCTTGCCTGGTTCTGGCTCTTGGCCACCACACTTGCACGGAACCATGCCCACTGTTAGGGAATGTTCATGTGGGTTGGGCTGCTCAGTTACCACTGACCTGAACATTTCCAAGCTCAAATAATTCATGTAAAAGTACTTTTAGAAGAAAATGTGTTTATGTATTGAGCTAATATGAAAGTCAGGGTGCTTTTAAACAATTATTTTCTAATTCTTACCCTTTTTGAAAAAAAACAAAGTGTACTTATTTATGTTAAAGTCCAAGCTGCAGAGAGCATGGGAGAGACCACAATTGTCTGTCTGTCTGCTGGTTCACTCCCTGGATGGCCACCCAGCTGTGGCTGGGCCAGGCTGAAGCCAGGAGCCACAGAGCTTTATCTAGGTCTTCCATGTGGTGACAGGGGCCCAAGACCTTGCTTTTTCTAGGCCAGTAGCTTTTTCTAGGAAGCCAGATCAGAAGTGGAGCAGCTGAGACATGACACGCACCAACCCCAAATATGGGGTGTCGGCAGTGTAGGCCACTGCAGCTTTATCTGCTATGCCTCAAAGCTGGGCTAGGAAGCTGCTTTTGCATTGCCATACGCTTTGCTCTTTTCTTACTAAAGACAAAAACCTCATGAGCAATCTCAAGGTTGAAGGTTGGTGATAAAGGCTTCTATTGTAGCAACGTCCTTAAGTACAAGTAGTTCTGATTATGAGCATCAGCATGCATGATGACTGTACCTCTGCTTCTAGTATTTTCTTTAGGCAAATATTAGAAATCACAGTGCTAGATGCTGGCAAAGGGACAAGAGACTCATGCAGTGATCAGTGACAAACACTAGACAGTAAACCAGTGCCTGACGCTTTGCCCCGGAGGGGGAGCCTCCCAGTCTGTCACCTCACAGATCCTAGAGGAGAATACAGGTTTACGAGGAAACTAATCTCAGGCACCACCTTGATTAAAAACCAAACTTAGCATTTCTAATGGCAAGGCATTCTATTATTAGGGGAGCTCTTGATGCTGGATGCCTGTCGCATATGTAGCAGTCTTAACACAAGTGTTTACTCTGAATTTAATTGTAAGAAAATATGCAAACGCACCAGCTTGCAGGCTGTTCTCCAAGAACACTGATCTTGACTTCAGAATCACCATCTTGAAAAGCAAAACCTGTGGAAGAGACTGCTCCTGGCTGTAAGAGGCTAGCAGGCACAACCACCGAAGGCACCATGTGAGCCCTGACTGCATGTGGATTTTTTTTTAAAAGGGCTATCAAACAGCTGGGGAAATTTAAACAATAAAATATCACATCTAAAATTCACTTTCAGACAGTCAAAGAGGACCAGGTGTTTGGCCTCATGGTCCAGATGACACAGGGCAGCTCACAGCAGAGTGCCTGGCTCTGAGTCCTACCTCCTCCCTTATTCTAGCTTCCTGCTCATTCGCATGGAAGGCCTGCCACAGGTGGCAGTCAGAACTGGGTTACTGCTGCAGCTTCAGGCTGGCCCGGCTGCAGTAGGCATTTGGAGAGTGAACCAGTGGATGGGAGGGCATGTTCTCTCTTTTTTTTGCCACCCCCCCTCTCCCTTATATCTCTCAAATGCATAAAATAAATGAGTTTTCTTTAAAAAAAAAAAAAAGTCACAGTGAATACAGGTATTGTGAATACAAAGTGAAAAGACAATCCACAGGAAAGCAGAAAATATTTTTCAATCATGTACCTGACCACAGACTTAAATCTTGAATATATAAAGAACTGTTAATAACTCATTAATAAAAGACATTTAAAGATGAGCAGAGAATCTAAACATAAGTTCTCCAAAGGAGATACAGAAGTGGCCAATAAGCATGTGGAAAGATGGTCAGCATCATTTAGTCAACAAGGAATGAAAATCCAAATTATAAGACAGCACTTGACACTCATTCACAATGACAACCTGACAAATGAAAATAACAAGCATTGGCAGGGATGTGGGAAACCGGCACCACTCATTCATACAAGGAAGTGCAGTTGCTTTGGTAAATAGCTTGTCAGCCTCTCAAAAGCTTACACATAGAATTAACACAAAACTCAATAGTTCCATCCCTAGATATACACCCTAAAGAAATGAAAACTTAGATAAACAAAACTTTGTACAGAAATTTCTGTAACAGCATTATTCACTACAGCCAGAAGGTGAAAGCAAGGGCGGGTGTTTGGTCTAGCAGACGCCCAAATTCCATAACAGAGTGCCTGGGTTCCATGCTTGGTTCTGACCACTGCCAAAGCAGATCCTGGAGCCCAGTGGCGATGGCTCAAGCACTTGGGCTCCTGCGACCCACTCAGGAGACCTGGATTGTGTGTGCAGCTCCTGGCTCAAGCCCCGGCCTGGCTGAGGTTGCCGCAGGCATTTCAGAAGTAAATAAATGGATGAGGGCTCTCTTTGTCTCTTTCTTTGTCAAAGAAAAAAAAAAGGACTCAGCCTAAATGTCCATCAGCTGGCAAAAACAAACCAACAAACAAATAAATAAATGGTGATACAACCAGACAACAGTGGCAACTAATTCGGGAATGAAAATGACTGTATCTTGGGTGAATCTTGAAAAACCACTGCAGTTGGTTACTCAGAACTGAAGGGAAGGAACAGACATGGCCATGGATGGATAATGTTTCCTTTTGGGATGGCAGGAGCACATTGAAGTCAGTGGTGATGGTTTCACAACCTCGTGAATACCCCAGAAACCAGTGAACTGCATATGCTTCAGATGAGTGAACTGTAAGGCACATGAATTCTATCTCAACAAAGCTTTTTGAAAAAGAGAAAGCAAAATTGGCCCCTCCAAAAAAAAAAAAAAATCAGTTGGTGAATCTACATGAAGAGTATCTGGGTGATATTCTATATTCTGTTGAACTAAAGTTTTCAAAACGAGCTGTGTAAGAAATGATGCCAGGAAGATACGATCTCAGAAGACTGCACTGACCTTGGGTACAAAGTCCAAGGTGAATGAATTCTATTCAGGGATTAAGATGTCCTCCAAATCACTAGACACCTGGCCAGGAGGTCAGGGGCCCTTCAGCCAGAGGACACTCACCTGGTTGGGAAGTGTCAGTCCACCCCCTCTTGGCTCGTACACAATAATCCCATCGTGTACTGGGATCCTTGACAAACTTGCCAATATCTTCAAAAAGTTCACAGAAGGACATCTGGCTGGCTTGGTACACGGTATAGTAGAGGAGGGCAGCCCTCCATAAAAAGGGGTCTTTTCTGAACAGGACACTGTGAAGACTTGCCAGGCCCTCCTCTGTGGGATTATTGGGTTTAAGCTTGTGTTTCTTGCGGCCAGTCCAACTGTTCCAGGGTTGCTGGAGGTTGTTAATACCTCGAAAATAGTGAGTGCCTAAGAAGAAAAGGCCCATGTATGAGAAATAGTAATGCCATTCATGTTCTAATTCTTTCACTTCTCAAAAAAGTTGATCAACAATTCTAAAACCAAACTGAAGTGTGCCTACAAATCAAAATAAAGTAGCAAATGGCCACATAGCTTATTAGAAGAGGCATAACCTTTATAGTAAATTATTTCTCTAAAGAGAAGAGTCATAAACTTGAACTATTTGAAAAGAATCTCAAAGATCAGTGATTTGAACCCTTTCTTTAAGGTGGTGTAATTGAAATCCACATGATTTAAGTGACTCCAAGCTTAACACAGCCAAACAGTGCTCTTTTTTAAAAAAAAATTTTTCTTATTATTAATTGCATTGCATTATGTGACACAGTTTTATAGGCATTGGGATTCCCCCGCCCTCCAAACCCTCCCCCCATGGTGGATTCCTCCACCTTGTTTCATTACCACAGATCAAGTTCAGTTGAGATTCTTTCATTGCAAGCATCTACAAAACATAGAGTCCAGCATCTTATTGTCCAGATAAGTTCAACGGCTTGTTGGGGAGACCATCTCTGGTCAGAAGGTAGAGCCGGCAGAGTATCATCCCAATCAATTAAAAGCCCCAACATAACATCAGCAACAATTTATAACGTTATGGAGTTAATTGACATAGTAATGAGTAACCAATATGTTTAAAAAAATGCAAGTTCTTAACCACATCCTGTGACTTCTTCATAGACATTTCAATTTTAGTTTATATACAGCCGGGTTCTATACACCTTAGAATGGCTATAGATTACTATTCAGCTGTCTTGTGTCTATTTTCATTATAGTATTTAGCATTTTATAGCATTGAAGCATAATTTTGCTGAACCTGGCTTTTTAGCCAGTGTTCTTATAAAGGTAGTCAGGGATATGGTATTGTAGCCTAAGGTGTGAGCCACTGCCTGTGATGTGGGTGTCCCACATGGGTACCAATCCAAGTCCTGGCTGCTTTGCTTTGGATCAAACTCCCTGCAAATGCACCTGGGAAAGGACTGGAAGATGGCCGAGGTGCGTAGGCCTCTGCACCTGTGTGGGAGACCTAGCGGAAGCTCCTGGCTCCTGGGCCTTGCCCGGCCCTGCCCTGGTTGCTGAGGCCATTTGGGAAGTGAAATGGTGGATGGGAGATCTCTCTTTGTGTCTCTCCTGCTCTCTCTCTCTCTAACTCTGACTTTCTAATAAATAAAATATATTTTTAAAAGTTAATTTGAAATGAGAAAAATATGTTACCTTTAATTCAGGTGAAGCTGACAGCTATGACTTTCTGTGAATACTAAGGAAAAACCTCCTAAAGGAGTCCTTATTTAGGGCTAACTGCTGACAGTACAGATGAGCAAATGGAGAAGCCTTGTGAGTACCTATTTCATGCCTCAGCATCCCCTCCAGCCAGTGCTCACGTGCGGTGGAAACGTTGATGGTCAGTGTGGGACATCCATTTACCACGGTCATTGAAGCTCGGGAAAGCAGGTCCTCGGTGAGATGAACCACAATCTAAGGAGACATGCCATACCCGCACACATTACACATAAGGGAGCAGGAAGAGGACGAAGCCTGCACCGAGAGCAGCAGGCCCAGAGATCTAAGACTGGCTTTGCTTTTGTTTACAACTACCTTGACTCTCCAAGAAACCTAACGTACTGTCCTTCACCTTTGAGTCTCCTGGTTTCGACCCTTTGAGAACTTCTTGGGTGAAAGAGAAAATGGACGGCTGTGCTAAGAACAGAGAATTTCAGACTGAGCCTGTGTGTGTCTTTAACAGAGTCCCTGGTTAAAATGAGTTTTGTGAAGGTACAGGCACCAAGAGTTTGCAGGCTGCCAGTCTAAGGCTTTGAGACAGATCACTAGGGCAAGAGTCTTAACAATTTTCATAGAGCAATTCATATAACTGCATATGCAATACAGAAGTGGCAGTGAGAAAACAGTACAAAACTGAGTACATTAAAACAATTCAGTGCAAAAGGAAACTTACAGTATGAGGACATTTCAGAAACTTCATGTAAGAATGAATAACAGGAATGCTTATTTTGGTGCAAAAAAATGTATGTCTCATTTTTTCAGGATACGTACTTTTTTTTTTACAGATTTATTTATTTTTATTGGAAGGAGGATATACAGAGAGGACAGAGAGGAAGATCTTCCGTCCAATGGTTCACTCTCCAGGTGAGCGCAACAGCTGGAGCTGAGCCAATCTGAAGACTCTTCCAGGTCTCCCACATGGGTGCAGGGTCCTAAGGATTTGGGCCATCCTCAACTGCTGTCCCAGGCCACAGGCAGGGAGCTGGATGGGAAGGGAGGGGGTCGCCGGGATTAGAACCGATGACCCTATGGGACCCTGGTGTGTGCAAGGCGAGGACTTTAACAACTATGCTATCGTGCTGGGCCCAGCATACGTATTTTCAAATTATGCAGTTTTTCAAGGCCCCTCTTATGCATATATTTCAAAAGCCGCTTGCACTAAAATGAACATATTTTTAAAATCTTCCAGATTCTTTTGAGACCTCTCATATTCAGTGAAAACTCTCGGTGACTAATTTATTGTGTCAAATAGGATGAGTCAAATACAGCTGCTGGACCCTCATGCTGGCCCAGGTTCCTACCTCTCCCAGGCAGCCTTCCTTCACCATGTATTTCCTGACATGACTCCAGATCCGAGGCTTGGAAAGCAAGCTGCCACCAGTGGCTTGCTCAAACTTCTCGTAGCTTCCATATTTTTGTAATGTTAGCTCCATGATATTGATGGACTGTAAAAGAATGAGACAAAGTAAGTAACCTCATATTACTTTGAAATGGGTAGTAAACTGCCAATATTCTAATTTATCATGACACAGGTTAACTGGTTTCCAAACTAAATCGCAACATAAGGGCCAGGTTTTCCTAATCCTTTATAATTTCCACTTATTCTCACAAATTTCTACAAATGTCTGTGAACTCAGGAATATTCTTTTACTTTATCCATTCTCCTTAACATAGAGGGGTTGGGCATCCAGGCACTCAGGCATGGCTGACGGCTGAGAACCTCTCAGATGGAGTAGAGCAGGCACTGGCTTCTCTGAAATCACCTAAGGACTTAGCGGGAAGGCTGTCTCCACGTGGCCTTCCATTGCAGGTCCCACTGAGACAAGGAAAAAAGAAAAACACCCTCCTGAAAACAGGCAACAGGGCCAACCAATCCAGCTCTGTGAGAATCCAGAGAGACTGCTGTGTTTCTGCCTACTCTGGGCCATAAAACCACACTAATAGGAACCGTTGCATCTTTTATTTACAGCAGGATACTATCTACTTTTCACCCTTCATAATTTTTTTTTACAAAACAAAGTAATACTTCATACAATACAATCATATCTTAGAAAATATATGTACTACATATGTATGTATATCAAGCATGTATCATAAAGTTATTACAATAGGCAACTCCTTCAATATGTTTTGCCTTACCAGTTTCTGAAACTATTATAAAAGGCTTATTAATCTAAATGTGATCCAAGGGCTACCACCACTGGTGTGGCACGGAGGCTGGTTTCAAACACAGAATTGAAGCTTCCTCTGAGCCTTATGCCTATTGAATAAAAGTCTGTATAGTTCCTGTTTTCAAATTTAATGGAGAGGGAGAGGGAACAAACTCCGCCATCAACTGGTTTACCCTCCAAACGTGCACTGGCCTGGACTGGGCTAAGGCTACAGCCAGGAGCAGGGAGCATGATTCAGGGCTCCCATGTGAGTAGCAGGACTCCAGGGACTTGAGCCTCCCCCTTGCCTCCTGCAGCCGCAGTGGCCAGAAGCTGCAACCAGGAGCTGAACACAATTGCCTTCACTGCTATGCTAAAATGCCCACTTCCAGTATCCTAATTTTTTTCCTTTTTAAAGATTTATTTGTTCTTCTTAAAGATGTATTTATTTTTATTGCAATGTCAGATATACAGAGAGGAAGATCTTCTATCCAATGATTCGCTCCCCAAGTAACCGCAACAGCTGGTGCTGCACCGATCCGAAGCCGGGAGCCAGGAACTTTCTCCAGGATTCCCATGTGGGTGCAGGGTCCCAAGGCTCTGGGCTGTCCTTGACTGCTTTCCCAGGCCACAAGCAGGGAGCTGGATGGGAAGTGGAGCCTCAGGGATTAGAACCGGTGCCCATATGAGATCCCGGGGCATTCAAGGTGAGGACTTTAGCCACTAGGCCACTGTGACGGCCCTGAGACCCAGATTCTTAAAGACCATCGAGGTGTCAGGGATTGGCACACAGAGGGTGACCATAATGAAGAATGGATGAGTGAATGGATAGATAAATGAATAGTCCTTCTTGCAGATTTGTTACAAATTTCAGTGAGACACTTTAAAGCAGTGGATCCAAATGTGTGGCAAGAGGGCCAAGTTCAGCCTGCTTTCTATGGTTTGTGTGGCCAGTACAGCGCTGTTTGAAACATTGGGCTGTAATAAGGTTCTTCTGTCGTCTCTGTCAGAGGTCTTACCAGCAATGGTTTGACAAAGGTGGCTCATGCTTCCTGTTGAAAAGATTTAACTGAGCGACCGCTGCTCTGGGGTCTCTTTATATGGGCCCTAATGACCTGATTGAGTCATCACAAATCTATTCATTTAACTTGCTACCAGGGAGTAATAGTCACCGTTGCTCGTTTAGTGTTTAAAAGTTTGCTTTGCATCCTGAGATTCTCAAAGCAGTAGCTGCAGTGTGACTGTCCTCCTCTCTATATATCTGACTTTGCAATAAAAATAAAATAAATCTTTTTTTTTTTTTTTAAAGCACCTGGGTCTCCTTCCTATCATGACAGTGGAGGGACATTGAATGACACAGGAACAGAGAATAATGCACGAGAGAGAGAGAGTTTCAAAAGTATTGTAAAATTACTGAAAGTGACTAGAAATGCATTATTAAAGGAAAAAAGAGGGCTTCCAGGCAAAATGAATACGAGTATGATGAATCCAAAATCTGTGGAAAATGCTACACATGAAACTGTTTCATGCCAAAAGTTATTAAAAACATTGTGTGAAAACACCATCAAGCCATGTCATGAGCAGTGTATTCCGCTGTATATCTCTAGGACCTAGGGAACATTCAACTCAGACACTGGGTCTGCCTTCAATGAAAGACAGCCAGGCAAAGAAGGGAAACATCGGCCTGCATCGCTGCCTGCTCCCCTGCCTTGATCCTGCCCTTCTGCATTCCCAGATCCTGGGAATCATTTATGATCCTGCCCAGATTCTTCCCAGGGTTGGGGGAACTCAGAATGTACTCAAGAGAGTAGGAAAATGAGAAGGAAGCTGTGACAAGGTGAAGACATTTATAAACACAAACAGCTTACGGCTGTCCTTTTGCCACCTACAAAGGGAAAAGCAGATATTCAAGCTGCTTTGTAGGAAAGACTCTGTTAAGATAGGAACCTGAGAATGTTTCCAAGAGTAAATCAACAAAGCATTTCAACAAGTCAACAAGGTCCTAACTTCTTCCAAGGACATGCAGTCTGACTGGGAGGCTCCCAACTTTGTAAGAAAATCTTCCTTGCAATTGGGTTAAGAGGTGACCTCACTTCTCCAACCTGACACACAAAGCTACCACGGAACATTCTAAGCTCAAAAGAATAATTTTGGTTTTTTTTGAAAGTCAGATATACGTAGATACACAATTACAGCTTATTTTTAAAGAAATTTTATGCCAGTGTATCCTATTATTGAAGGCAGTTTACTCCAAACTAAATTTTATTCCAATTAAAAAAGGAAAAGAAACACTTGTCATGTTTTAGAGCACCATCTATGCTTTTATGTATTTTTTTTGTTATATGTGTGTTTTCATATAATAATGAATTAACTACCTATTCCATCCCTACTATAAATTCCAAAAGCATCTTTGGAGGACCATATTTAATAGTCTTTACCTTATGCCTGTCATTTGTACTTGCTAGAATGGGGCTCATGCTTAACCGATCTGGGGATTCTGGCAACCAACAAACAAATTTGGTCCACAGAGCAGGTTTCCATGGACATGGACAGTCTGTTGTTTAGCTACATTTAGGTATCAGTGTTTACAGACAGAGAATTCATATCAAATCCAGTTTTATCAGCACTCTTGGGACATGCTGCACATTGGGGACCCTGGGATGACATCAAGTGGCTGTGACCCATCCCCGGGTACTGATGCAGTTAGGATGCTGGGAGCAGCCCTCTCACTTTCTCTCTACCCTTGCCCCAGACACAGGAAAGAAAAAAAAAAATGGAATTGTCTCCCCACCCCCATTCTTCGACCCTCCCCACCCAATCAGTGGTCCACATGAGTATACATCCTTCTCAACTCTGTAAACATCATCAAAAGAAAATAAATTTACTTTTTAAAATGTTTCTACAATTCAGATTTTTAAGCCCTGAAGATGAAATACCACAGGATCTGAAGCATGGCTCAAGCTAAATGTTGATTTCTAAGTTGCTACTGTGCCTAGGCGGCTCACTGCAATCATTTATGATCCTGCCCAGAAACCACAGGCTTCTGGCTTTGTGATCCCACTATGCTATATTTATATTAAAATTCATCAACCAGGAAAATGAAACTCAGGATTTCTGTGCTAACATAATGAAGTTGGGTTCCTTTAGGTAGTTACTTGGAGTATGTAAACTCTATAATTGCAAATGCGTTGTGCCATGGAATGTGATGTTTTGTTTATGCAGAAAAAAATAAGCTGTCAGAATCAGAATCCTTTCTTGTTTTCTATTTTAAATACCCCTCAATAACTCAGTAACTACAAAGTTGTCCCTGGAAGCATGGAACATTTAACTCCTGTTAGCTTTTTTTGAAGTGATAAATAAAAATTCAGGACACTATAGTTTCACAACTGTAACAGATTTTTTACTTAAATATGTAACTTATTTATGTGCATATGTGTGCATATATAATATGTGATTTATTATTTTATAGCAAGCATTGGAGCCGGCATTATGATGTAACATATTAAAAGCCACTTCCTGTGACTCTGATATCCTACACGGACACTGGTTTGAAATCTAGCTGCCCCATTTCTGATCCCACTCCCTGCACAGCTACCTGGGAAAGTAGAGGATGGCCCAAATACTTGGTCCCTGCACTCACGAACGAGATAAGGTAGAGGTTCCTGGCTCCTAGCTTCAGCCTCACCCAGCCCTGGTCATTGTGGCCATTTGAGAAGTGAACCATTGGATGGAAAATTTTTCTCTCTGACTCTTCCTCTCTTTCTGTAACTGTGGCTTTCGAATAAATAAATGCTTTTTAAAGAGTTACACTAATATCAAATTACACTCTAACAAATATGGTTATGATGGAAAAAGACATTTTGGAGAGAAACCAAACACCTTTTTAAAAACTGAATTGTTTCTTTCCATCATTGCAGCTATGCTCCTTTGCTCATGGACATATCTTAATAAGAAATCACAATGTCACTCAATGTGTTAGTATCAGAAAGAAGATACGTTTGTTCTTAGGAAGGTTATGGTTGTGTTGTGGCCAGCAACCTCGCTTGCTCGGATTTCTAGATTCCTGTCAGTTCCTGTCCATCCTCAGAGTGCCTTCCTACTCTTTCCCCTCGAGACCACACGGTTCTTTCGGTGACTAGGACTAATCTTACAGGGATGTAATCTCTGGAGAGTAAGTAGCTCCTTTTTGTTATAATAAATTCATTTTGTTTTTGATAATGTTTACATGGTTGAGAAGGATGCGTGCTCACTCATGGGGCCACCAATTAGGGTGGGGGTTGAGGAATGGGGGGAAGTAGATGAGACAGACATCTCACCCTGGGGGAGAACAGAAACTTTTAGGGTACTAGGTTGTACATCTCTCAGATGCAAACAGAAATGTAAGCACGTTTTCGCAGAGGCCTTGATGTATGAGTGTCTATTATTCACCAAGTGGTCCAAACAGCAGACATGGCATTTATCAAGAGCATTCTTTTTTTTTTTTTAAAGATTTATTTTTATTATTTTTTATTGGAAAGGCAGGTATACAGAGAGGAGAGACAGAGAGGAAGATCTTCCGTCCAATGATTCACTCCCCAAGTGAGCACAACGGCCGATGCTATGCCGATCCGAAGCCAGGAGCCTCTTCCGGGTCTCCCACGTGGGTGCAGGGTCCCAAAGCTTTGGGCCGTCCTCGACTGCTTTCCCGGGCCACAGGCAGGGAGCTGGAAGGGAAGCGGGGCTGCCGGGATAGAACCGGCGGCGCCCATATGGATCCCGGGCGTGCAAGGCGAGGACTTTATTCACTTGCGCCACCGTGCCGGGCCCCAAGAGCATTCTTAAAGATGTGGCATTTGAAGTCAGCTAGGATTTCTGGTACTCTGTAGAAATTTAAATCAATCTGAGGGTACATGTGACCTATACCGGAAGCAGGATGAAATCCATGTGCACAGCGCCAGGTCAGGCCGGGGGGAGGTGTGTTGGGGGAGACTGTCAGTTCCTCCCAGACATCCTGGGAAGACAGAACAGTCACTTTGATTGAATAGTAGGAAAATTCCAGGTTCATGACCTGGCAGCCCCATTTCCCATCCAGCTTCCTGCTTGTGGCCTGGGAAAGCAGTTGAGGACAGCCCAAAGCCTAGGAACTCTGCACCCACATGGGAGACTGGAGGAGGTTCCTGCTTCAGGCTTTGGATTGGCTCAGTTCCGGCTGTTGCAGCCACTTGGGGAATGAATCAATGGACAGAAGATCTTCCTCTCTGTCTCCTGTCTCTCCTCCTCTCTGTATATCTGACTTTCCAATAAAAATAAAATAACTCTTAAGTAAATAAATAAATAAATAAGCATTGCATCCTCGCTGGGTCTGCATGAGCAGGAAACTGGCATGAGAAGCCAGAGTGGGGCGCTGGAGCTGGGACTCCACTGATGGATGGCATGTAGACATCTGTTATTTTTTTAAAGATTTATTTATTTTTATTGGAAAGGCATATATACAGAGAGGAGGAGAGGCAGAGAGGAAGATCTTCAATCCAATGGTTCACCCCTCCAAGTGGCCGCAACAGCCAGAGCTGAGCCAATCTGAAGCTAGGACTCAGGAGCTTCTTCCAGGTCTCCCACGCAGGTGCAGGATCCCAAAGCTTTGGGCCATCCTGGATTGCATTCCCAGGCCACAGGCAGGGAACTGGATGGGAAGCGAGGCTGCCAGGATTAGAACCAGCGCCCATCTGGGATCCCAGCATGTTCAAAGTGAGGGCTTTCACTGCTAAGCTATTGCACTGGGCCCCATCTTTTTTTTTTTTAAGATTTATTTTTATCGGAAAGGCATATATACAGAGAGGAGGAGAGACAGAGAGGAAGATCTTTCAACATTTGTCTGTGGGTTGGCTAATAAGCCACACATTTATTAACTCACAAATGAAAGTCTGGAACCATAGACTGAAGCTTTATTCCTAACATAGTTAACATCGGTGGCCTAGAGTCTACCTAACAGATTGTGTATAGATTCTGATCAGTAAAATGTCATTTATATATAGTGATAGCACCCTCCTAGATACCTAGATACCTTATTATAAATATACATGCAAATAACTGGAATTTACTGCTTATAATTGTTCAGCTACATCAAAATGAAGTGCTACAGAAGTGGCATCTTACCTGCCTAAGGAATCGGTCAGAGGCGTGACTGTGCTTAGCCAACACACTTGGCAGAGCAGGATTGGCATATTCAAACTGAGGATTGTAGGTATAGTCAGACCTGAAGAATCTGAGTTTTTCCTTCTCTAGATTGGTGGGCTTTATGGCCGTCAGTATACAGAATTTCTTTCCGGAGGCGTCATCTCCTTTCTCAAAGCTTCTAGACAGCTGTGGCTGCTGCTGCTTTGGTTTTGGCTGAGTGGAGAAGTGGTGCCGCCTGACCTTGCTTTTGGGTTTGGGTGGCAGGACTATGCTGCTCCCTGTAACAGAGATATCATGCATAAACTTAGCAGGACTTGACACTGAACCAGTGACAAAAACAGCAGGCTTCCTCTCCAGGCAGTACCAAGTGCCACCGCTCATCGCCGGCGCGGGGGGTTTCATCCTACGTGCATCTTTGCTACGAGAAGAGCTAGGAGATTTGCTGGGCTTCCTACATCTTTTGGAGTGGCTGGAGGAAGACTGTTTTTGCGAATGATGCCTTTTCTCCTCCTTGCTCTGCAGTAGGACATTATAGCTACTGGTTCCGGTTGTGAAAATGTCCTTTAGAATTCCAGGGGACAAGTGTGAGGCGCTTCTTTGGCTGTCGACAGTCCGCGATTCTTGTGTATTTAGGATAGACTTCTTAGCAAGTTCTTGCTCAGGCCAGTGAAGCTTTTCTGTGTTAATAAACAAAACCAAAACAAAAGACATAACAGAGATGGCAGATGAAGCAAATGGAAAGCACGCTGCTGGCGCTCTAAGCTTTACAGTCTGTGACAATCATAGCAGAACACATTACAGATCAAACAGTACATTACTAAACTGGTCAGGCTAAACACCGCCACTTCCTTTCCCTGCATGGATGGATATTACATTATTTATAAAAACTCTCAGCTTCAAACCACTCAGATGATCCAAGTCTAATACATAGATAACACACACAGATCAGTTCAATAGTCAATTGATTAAGGAGAACAAATTTCAGATAGGATATAATCTAATTACATTAATACTATAGTAAAACTCAGAATATTTTCAAACAATCTTGAAACTTAAAACTCAATATAAAGGTATTTATCAGTAAAACAAGAATAGTGATGCCTTATTTTACCTCAAAAAAACAAGTGTTTGAATTTGTCTACGTTTCAGCTCAAGTTCTGAACAAGACTGCAGCTCAAGACCTGTAGACAATGTTCACTGAATAAGCATATGGATGAATAAGAACCCTAAGTATGACATTTCCAACCACTTTTGATAAACAGGTTACTTGAAGTTCTAGAATCATTTCTATTCCTATGAGGAGATCACTACAGAAGTAGAAAGCAGAAGACTCTAAGCCAGTAGTTTCTAGTTGACAGTCATTTTAGCCCCTAGGGGACATCTCACAGTGTCTAGAGACACTGTCACAGCTGGGGGTGAGGGGGTGCTTGGCATTTAGTGCAGAGAGGGTAGGGGTGATGCCAACCAGGCTTTAGTGCGCCAAGAAATAGTTATCCCAACATGCCAACAACGCTACCGTGCAGATTCTGTTCTAAACATTCGTTTTAAAGCAGACAATGATAGGCCCAAAGTGGATAATATTCACATATATTAAGGTACTTGGAAAGTCCTTTTGTCTACATTTTATAGGCCAGCATGTGAACTTTAAATTCTGATGGCTAAAAGGTAGCATGAAAATATGAACTGGCTGGGGCTACATGTCTGGTTTTTGGTACCAATTTGTAGATCGGAAGGAGCTAGATTAATCCCACAGGGTCATGTTGAGAGTGAGAATTGTTACCAAGAAGGTTTCCTATAAATGTTAGTAACTCAATCTGTCAAAAATAAGAGGACAAATAAACAAAACTTTCATCACAGTTAGTGGGACCCAGTTTCTCAGCAGTTTCAGACTTAATTGTTGCCAAGTGATAGTGCGAAGTAGGCAGGTTGGGTAAATGAGCTAAGGAACACGGGGAGACAGGCTGCGGCCCCAAACAATGTCAGCTTCCCTAAGAAGATACAAGTTTAGGTGACAATGAAAGGAAGGCTGAAATGGACGCTGAAAGGGAAAGAGTCAGAGAATAGAGATAAGAAGGCTATCATAGCCTGGAGAACTAGGTAAGGACTCCGGCACAGTCCGAAAGTTAAAGGGAGGGAACTGGGTTCTTTATTCATGTGATCATCATGATGAAAAGCAAGCAATGAAACTAAACAACTCCTGTTACATCACATTGTGCTGATTTTTAAAAGCAAAATTGATATGCCATGTATAAAATGGTTTCTTAATTCTAAGACAATGAACTGAACTCAGAGTTCTTTTGTCATAAAGCATCAATGACCTGTAGAAAAAGTCCCAAACCACCTGCCAAATCACCGTGCGGTGTGGAAGAGGGGCAGGCAAGGACAGCGTGCACCTGACAGACCCCTCTCGCCAGGAGCTGCAGCATCCCCGGGTATGGGCTAATTACCTCCGGAGGGCCTGGCACGTCCTGCGCAAGCCCCATCTGTGGCTTGGCATTTGGGAGTGTCATGGCACATTTTTTAGCAAATGCCAATGCTGCCGAATGCTGGCTGTCTCCTGAAGTTCACACAGGTGGGACAACTGGTCCATCAACCAGCATGAACACGAATTTCTCTCTCAGATTCACACTGACCATATTTCCAGGTGTGTTACAAAGTAAAAGGGAAGCTGAAGTTTTATTCTAATTTTGAATACTATTGTTTACTTTGAGAAAAAAAATTACTTTGGTACATGCATAAGAAGGTAATAAAAGGTTGATAAAGCTGTCAGTTGTCTATATATTCAACAAATTCCCTGACTCCTTTTTTGGAAAACAAACAAACAAACAAAAACCATTTAAAAGCATAAATATACTTCTTTGGAAGAAGTGCTTTTTCACTCAAATGTAATAAGGTAATTAAAAATCATAAATTCTGTATTAAAGGTTTCACTGTGTAATGCGACACTTTAGCCATCAGCTTTCTGTCTGGCAGTGATCACAGAGCGAATAAAAAGAATCTGTTCATCAAAGAAAGTCACTCAGTGCAACCTGATTCCATACACTGAGATCAAGAGGATAAACAATAAGATTGATCCCCAGTAAATTCAAGTAGGTGAACATACTGAAATTACCAACACAATGAAGGCTTACCGTGTATCTGGAACAGGAGAATAGGATGCCAGGATTTCTGGCCTCCATTCCAGCTCTTTCAATGACCTCTCTGTAATATTAGCCTAATCACTAGGCCCATCGGTGCCTCCCGTTCCTCACGTAAAAGAATGAGGAAGAAGAGGAACACTGCTCTCTAAACCTCATGTCTCATAGTAATTAGGAGGTCACTGGCCTGGGCCTGGCATGGTGGCCTAGCGGCTAAAATCCTAGCATTGCACATGCCAGGATTCCATATGGATGCTGGTTCTAATCTCAACATCCAGCTCCCTGCGTGTGTCGTGGGAAAGCAGTTGAGGATGGCCCAAAGCCCTGGGACCCTGCACCCGCATGGGAGACTCAGAAGAGGCTCTGGGCTCCTGGCTTCGGACTGGCTCAGCTCTGGACGCTGCAGCCACTTAGGGAGTGAATCAGCAGACGGAAGATCTTCCTCTCCATCTCTCCTCCTTTCTGTATATCTGACTTTCAATAAAAATAAAATAAATGTTTAAAAAAGATAAAAGAAGGTCCCTGGCCAAAAGGAAAATCACCAGAGGCAAAGTCTGGTGCAAAATACTATTCAACCAACTCTGATGTACCAAATGCATCCATGTGGTTCAGCTAACGCTAAAAACCTAGAATCACAAAATATAGGCTGCTTGTTTATAATCAGAAGCAGCAGCAAAACAAAGCAATGCCCGTGTAAGAAACACTTTATAGAGTTTCACCACTTCAAATTCAAATGAAATAATAACAAAAGAAAGAATAATAATGGCATATCCATATAACAAAATGATATTACAAGTAACAGTAAGACTGAATCTCAAAGTAGAACAAACAAAACCAGATGAAAAGAACATATACTGTACAATTCCATTTATGCTTGAGGAGGGGTCCTAACATGGGACAGGGTATCCCAGGGAGCCTGCCAGGTACTTGGAACATTCTGTATCTTGTTATGTTTTGTTTTGGGCAATGTGACACATGCACAGATTTATCTCAGACTTATGTACTTTGTTGTATGTATTATAGCTTGGGTTTTTAAAAAAGTTATGTAAAAATGAAAAAATTTTAAAAATGCCCAATTTATCTACATCATAATAATCAGTTAACTAAAGTAATTCTAAATTCAACAGTTAATATTGTTGACTTGGGAAAAAGAGAAAAACATAGCACATTATAGTATAATGCACAAGTGAAGATCTCTCTCTCTCTCCATCTCTTTCTTCCCTTCCTCCTTCTTTCTAGCTCTTATTCAAATAAATTAATCCTTAAATAACACACACACAAGAAAAGAAAATACATAGCCAACATCATCTAGGAACTCAAAAAGCCAGTATTCTTAAAACTGTCACAGTCCCAATTGGGAGTGCTTCAGTGTTCACCTATTAGTTATAATAATATTATGTGACACTTTTATTTTGTGTAGGATATTTTATTCTTCACAATGACAGTTGTGCCAAGAGTGACCATTTTATGTACTGCATCTGAACTGCCAATGAATGCACCAGAACAAACTTCCCCAGGGTTTTCCTCGTGGTGAGGTAAGCTATCCACGGCCTCTGCCTCTGCAGTCTCAACTCCTACTGCTGCCTCCCTGTGTCTGCAGTCCAGGGTCCTCATGCTGCCAGTCCGTCTACTCATCCGCCTGTCCCCTGCAGCACCTCTTCTGCGCTGCTCTGTACCTCTGTGGAGCCCTTCCGCACCCACCGATGCTACAATGAAACAGCACTTGGGCAGGAAGTCTTTGATGTTCTCATTGTAGACCCTCCCTAACACCTCTCACTTCTGCCTCAAAGCACCTGTCAGGCCTGTAATTTTATATACATTGAGTAATGACCTTTTGTTCACCATGCAGCTTATCAAAGGGTGACCAGAGGAGTGGCCAAGAGAAGAGGATATTTGAGGGAACAGAAAGGGTAGAAGGTTTGGCTGCCTCAGGGTTGAGGGGAAAAAAACAATCCCAGGAAAGTATTTTAAAAAAAAAATAGAAAATGAGTGAGGTTTAATAGGATGTGCCTATCTGCTGTAGGGTGAACAGGAACTAGGTGTACTCACGGGGTATGGCCAAACATTGATCTTAGGAAGAACGGTGTTGCCAACATTTTTTAAAATTATGTTTTTTACAAAGGTGCTTCATTGAGCCCCAGCAGCGTGGCCTAGTGGCTAAAGTCCTCGTCTTGAACATGCTGGGATCCCATATGGGTGCCAGTTCTAATCCCAGTAGCTCCACTTCCCATCCAGCTCCCTGCTTGTGGCCTGGGAAATCAGTCGAGGACGGCCCAGAGCCTTGGGACCCTGTACCCGTGTGGGATACCCGGAAGAAGATCCTGGCTCCTGGCTTCAGATCGGTACAGCACCAGCCATTGTGCTCACTTGGGGAGTGAACCATCAGATGGAAGATCTTCCTTCCTGTCTCTCCTCCTCTCTGTATATCTGACTTTGTAATAAAAATAAATAAATAAATCTCTAAAAACAAACAAACAAAAAAACCCAAAGGTGCTCCATTTCCAGATGACCCATTAGTCACTTCTTATATCACAAATAAAATAATGCCAGTTGGTCATAAATTAGCATAGGCTGGAACGGTAGAGTCTTCTGACAGGATTCTGTT